CTATAATATTTTTACAGTCTTTATTTTACAGTTAAAGCATATGTTTATCATATAAAGCCTAATGTTGCAACTAATAGGGGATCAATATGTAAACTAACTAAATTAAATGTGTTAATGTTTATTTATCTATAAGTTTGTAATTAAACACGTTTTATTTAAATTTCCATAGTTGTGTTATTTCATTGGTCTATTTATGTTTTAATTTGCCTTTATTCTTAGTGAAGTTTATAAACAGGTAATCTATGAGTTCCTCCACTGAACCACTAGGTGACAGCAGGGAGCAGGTTAGTGGCAGTCACTGATTAGTGACGTACATTTTATCAAATTCAAGTATTTATTTACACTGTTGACTGAACTACACACTTTACTGTAACTACAACCAGTAAATATCATGTGTGACTTGGAGCCGGGGTCTTACCTCTCCACCAGTACTTCTGAGAGATGACGTCCCAGGTGAGTTGCTGGTTGAGATGCTCCCCCGTTTTCATGATGTGCGCCTGGTTGATAAGTTCCTTCCTCCTGCTGTCCTGCAGCACCACCTCCAGCTCCGTGAACTCATTCTGGCCCTTCTGCCGACGCTGGTACAGCAAAGTCCCGTTCCGGACAACGTAGCATGCGGCGGCTTTCCGTATTTTCCTCTTGGTGTTACCGGACGTCCCCGGCGCATACGGCTCCCGTTCGTCCGTCAGATAGCGCAGGATGGCCAAGTAGCTCTCTTCGCACGACATTGTTTTTAACGCTACCCGCGCTTTTTTTACGCTAAAATCCGGGCTTGTCTCGAAGAGGAGAGCCCCCTCCGGCTCTCAAAATAAAAGCGCGAATTTTTGTGTTGCGTTTAGATTCTAAACAGGGCGGAACAGATAAAAACTAAAGCAATATTTCAATTTGTTTTTAAGGTGGAACTGCAGTTCGCAACGGTCGAGGTTTATCCGAACAGACAAAATGGCTGCTGCACAACCGGAACTTACGTCAGCAGAGAGGAAATGTGTAATGAACACTAAACACCACAAGAGGGCGAAAGATACTAATTTTTGTCTCTTTGTTAGTATAGGTTCATTTTAGAAGCAGTGATTTATATACATAAGTATATACAGTATGTACTG